CTATCTATTCAACCCTCTCTATTCTGGTGCTTCTACATAAAATCCTGTGCAAACCATTTTTTTAAAATTACATCCTAAGCATCACAGATCTCTCTGAGGTGTCCCAGCTGAGGAGAGCATCGGCCAGAGAAGAAGTCAAGGTGTTCACCATAACTGAGACCCACAGCTCAGATGGAAGAGACGATTTGTAAAATCTGACTGCAAGAATTTCAGTGTTAAAGAAGATCTATGAGGCAAAATTGAAAGTTTTCATGCTTTTGTTCTTCCAGATGAGTTTCTACTGCTTCTTAAAAAAAAGGCCAAGCACTTAAAAAACACTCGCCGGTTTTTGGCAATTGGTACATTTTTTGGTGTCTGGAAAATGAGTCGTTTGAAAATTCTCCAGAACGTAATGTCACATACACTGCCTGAGGCTGCTTACCTAGCAATCCCAGCAGAGCCCATCCTGTTACCTAGAAACCCCACCAAAGCCCAGTCTGTTATCGAGCAACCCCAGTGGAGGTTCAGGACTTTTGGTCACCTGGTTTTACCACTCTATGCGCTGCACAATGGATGCTGGGAAAGACAAGTGTTTTGTTGTTGGCTTACAATACAAAAATCACTTGCTGGATTCTTGTTGGTTGTGCAGGAGGCTCCATTAGTGCCAGTAAAACATGTATGGTTGTATCTGCCATTTTCACATGGGAGTGTAAACGATGAGTTTAGAGGACGTGGCCAGCAGCAGCTTATTTGCATCTAAAGTGACAGAGACTAAAACAGCTCATTCTGAAAGGAGCTGAGCAGTCTGAAATCTGATTATCTAAGAATGATGCAAAAAAAATGTAACCATCTTGTTTTCTAGCCCACAGATCTTCAGTCAAGAAATTTAACTATGCTGATTTATAAATAGCAGAATGAAACAGATTCTTCTTGACCTGGGAATATGTTGGATTTTGAGGGGTGTCTTTCTTCCCTGTATTTTTTAAACTTGTTGACAGAGAGCGTGCTTTCTCCATTTTCTCTTTCGTTTTTGATTTTGCTGTGTTTGTGATGCAGTGTCAGGTTTGGATAAATGCAATCTGATGCAAAAGGAGAGGAAATGTCTCACACCAGCTGAACATGAAGGGAGAGTTTGTCACACAACTAGAGCTGATCAATATGAGAATCTAAAGGAGGATAATATTCTAGCTTTGATGCTAAATCAGCTCCTGGGAGGGACTACATCTGTTCCTAATGCAGTTTGTTCCCCAGAACATCAACCTTTAGATACTAAGGTCTAAAAGAGAAAAGAAAAATATATTTTTGGTCTATGCATAAAAAAAACCAAAACATATATATATATATATATATATATATATATATATATTATATATATATATATATATATATATATATATATATATATATATATATATATATATATATATATATATAATTATGAAAATATAACATTTTGATATTTTAAAATAAGAATAGTTCTATGGTTTGATAGTTGAAAGCTGACCTATAGAATAGAAAAGACTGAATGAAATGTAAATAAAATGAATATGTTGTTGTTTATGAATCTGAGATTTTCATTAAATTAATATTGGACAGTTAAAACCAAACTTCTTCATGTCAGTGAGAAAATTAGGTTGAAGGTAATCTCATCCCTTTACCAGTGTGTTGTTTCTGGCTGGAAGCAATAGAGACATTTCCAAAATAAGGTAAAGATAAAGCTATTAGTAGGAAGATTTTTCAACCTCAAAGTTTTAGAGCTTATCACCAAGATAAAACACCAAAAATAAAAGTGAAATAAAACATCCCTGTTGACCTGTCCGGGTTTGGCTCTGTGGAATATTTGGGTTGAGGCTTTTTGAGGTTTCTTTTTTCTTGATCTAATTATAGCTAATTATAACCCAGATCCAGTGAGATAAGGAAACAATAAAAAGGTTACGGTCATCTGTGCATCATGCGCATCCAGGGATTGTGAGAAGGGGGGAGTGCGCAGACGGAGATTTGGTGAATTTGGTGAATTTGCCTGATTTTTATTTTAATCAGGCAAAATAAACTAAGCTAAATATCACCAATACCTTCTTCTACATACTCAAAAATTGCTTACCACTTAACAATATGTGGGTCACAAACATTGTTCTGTTTACTGGACTGCTGTTATTTTGTCCACAACTTTTTCAGTTTCCTTCATTATCATCTGTGTGGAATATCCAGTCGACGTAAAAATGTGTCACACTTTGGCTTTGGGCAAGACAACATTTAAGTATCTCTGCAGAATAATTATTTACATTAGATATGTTTCAGTCCAATTTTTCAAGCAAATTTTGAGCACACTTTGAAAATGTTGCAAAAAAGAAGAACAAGAGGAAAATGCAAATTCCATCTGCTAGTTTGGAGCAAATCAACCAGGCGATGCAAACAGTAATTCGTCAGATGTTGACGCTAGACATGGCTGTAATAAACAGCCATGTCTAGCGTCGCATGTTGCAAATTAGCAGACTTCACATCTCAGAAAAGTTCTTATCTCATTAAAGTTTAGACTTTCAGACTTTAGTGCCTCTGATAAGGCACAGACCCACCAGACCATCACCAGACACACCATTTACCAAAACCTTTTTGGTAAATGTGTCTGCTTCTCTCCTTTGGTGCTTTAGCTCCGTTTTAGAAAAGCAAAAACTCTCCTCAAGCAAGTGTAGAAACTTTTTTTGTTGCAAAATCGAGGAAGTTATTTCAAATTTTGCCGTTTATATCAAACTTTTCTAATGCGATACTTCAAAACGTGCAGGAAAAAAAATGATGAAAAATGAACAGAATTATTACCAACCTGATTGAAAATTCACACAATCCTTTGTAAATCTTTCTGCCTTTAAGAATTTAATTTAGTTGAAGGTAACTTAAAATGAAAAGTTTTTTGTATACAACCAATGCCATTTAGAAATTGGGTCTTGGTAGTAAAACTCAACAGGAAATAATCAGGATCAATGGCAAACTAAGTCTGCAGTCATGTGATAGCAAATGAAATTGAGTGCTTTCAAGTCTTCTCTCTCATGTAAAAAAAACCCACAGCTGCTATCGGCTGGCAGTGAATGTCATTGCTGGTGAACAAAGGGAATTATTCCTTGAAGTCTTAAGTAATTGAATCTCCAAAAGGTCCTCGTTTTCCCCTATAATGTGATATAAAGACTCAGATTGGGTGTGCAGTCGACAAAAACGATGAACATGTATGAAACAGCATCTAGAAGAGATGACAGACAGAAGCGCCATTAACCCAGCTTCCAATTTCATCTGGTTCCTGCCTCAGAGGAAGTGAAGATGTGAGAGCATAAACCCCGGGAGGGTGTTCTGTTACCAAGTCGGTGTGGGAACACTCCTAACACTTTGGCTGATACACTAATACCATCATGATTTGACCTGTCAGGACTCATATGCTTTGCAAAGACGTGAGTCAGTGTCGTTTACAGAGAAGTGTCTATGGCAACAACTGCCTTCAGTTTTTCATGATGTAGATTCTACAAGGTGTTGGATGTATGCCGTAGGTCAGCAACACACAGGCACATCGACATGCCTTTGGTCCACATCGGTCCAAATCCATGATGCAAATCTAATGTTCCACCACATCCAGAGCTGCTCTATTGGACGAAGGCCTGGTGACCCTGGAGGCCATTTGAGTACACCGAACTAATTACCATGCTTCAAGAAATCATTTTGAGAATTTTGAAGGTTGAGACATGACATGTCATTCTGCTGGAAGTAGCTGTTACAAGATGGGGACAGGGCAGTGAGGAAGGGCAGCACATGCTCAGCAACAGTACTGAGGAAGGCAGTGATGTTTAATGTCCGTTGGTGCTCAAAGTGTGACAAGAAAATAATCTCCACATCCATACACTGCATTTGACACAGTGCTTTTATTTTGCTTGCACCAAATTCTGTTCTCACAGCTGAAGTTGAGTTTACCCATCAGGCAACAGCATTTTAATCTAACTGTCCAATTATTGCAAAACTGTGCTAAATATACCATAATTATGTTGTCGTGCTTTCAGAGTTGGTACTCTCCTTTCAACTTCAATATCAAAAATATACTGAACAGCCCTTCTGGGATTATAACAGGTAAACTTCTGTCCATGTGAATTTGGACCAAACTTTTAAAACGATACAAAACAATAAAAGAAAAAAAAAAAAGAAAAGAAAATGCAAATTAAAGTTTCCATCTACTCCTTTGGGGCAACTCAACCAGGCTCCACAAAACATGACTTCATCAGATGCTGATGCTACATACAGCTGTAATAAACTAGACTCAGTACCACAGGAGCAATTCCACGACTCCCATCCCAGCCTATAGTGCCTCTCCCTAGCCGCTCCAAGCTGAAAGTCCTGTCCTCTGTGCTGGACGTTTGGGCTATGAGAGATCTTCAGCACTTTCCAGCAAATGTGTTTGCATCTCCCCTTTAGCGCATTAACCATTTTTAGAAATAGCCAAAAACCACCTCAAGCAAACATAAAAACCTTTGCCAAGATTGAGGACATTAGTTTGAATTTTGCAATTTCCCTCAACCTTTTCAAATTCAATACTTCAAAATGTGCAAAATAGAATGTAAATGGAAACACATGTAGTATCATGTTGGAATTACTTCAACTTTCTTGCACACCCTGTTACCAAAGAACACTGAATTGCTACCATGTGACTATGACTGATTCGCTGATAAGGATTCTTTGTCTATTACATAATATATTAAGCACAAAGCTGGAAAGCTTCCCCTTCCTTAAATATTGCCATAAGTCATTTTTTGCAAGAAGTTGTTTTTTTTCTCTCTTTGTTTTAGAGCAAAATCACTTTTGGCAGAAAGTTACTCTGGTCAATATTACAGGAAAGTGACAATATTGTAGTGCAATGGAACTTCAAGCATCTGAAATCAATATTTGACAAACAGAGTATGAACACTGTATTACGGTTTAAGAGTGATGAAGATGTGAAGTCAGAGAAAACTGTGACCTTGTCAACTGACTGAAGAATAATAGAGAAGTCTTACCTTTTTGGCTGTCAATGACAAAATTGCCCTCATCATTTCCTGTGTTGATTTTGTACGTGATCCCATCCCCATCAGGATCCTTTGCCAACACTGTGGCAACAAGTGTGTTGGGCCCCGCATCTTCTGACACAAACGTCCGGTATCTGATGAGACACATGCAAACAGCGCTGTCAGTACTTTACCAACGCTCCATGTGTGACACATCTGGAAACTGCTGTAAAGACAGGAGTTTGCTTTCAAACCGAAAATGTCAACATCCCTGATGATTGATGTTAAGTCACTAATCCAATTTTTATCAATCCATACCTGAGTCTACCACAGGTTTGGATGAACAACCAGCTCTGAATAGAGAATTCAGAGATTAACAACAGATAATCCATAGGATAATCCTGGTCCAATGTGTGTTCACATTCTTCACATTCCATCACTGACTTACTAAACAAAGTCAGAAAAAACCTCTACATCATTAGGAAAATTGTTGACCAACAGCCTCTTCGGAGAGCAGATATGAGTTTTAAAATCCTCCACCATTAAAATCTGGTGATAATTTATTACATCAGCCAAAAATTCCAAAAAGTCAGTGAAGAAGCTTTTATTAAACCTCTGAGGTGAAAAAACTACTGCACAAAGCAGTAGGAGATAACAGCCCATCTTAAAATGTTGGATTATGGGTCATTGGGGGAACTTTATCTGCAGATATCAGCTAAACCAGCATCATGACAAGAAGACATGGAGAACCAAAATATACACAATTTTCTATTTTTTCAGAAAACACACTTTACTCACTGGTGGAAATCCAAATCTCAGTTAATAAATACTGAAGATTTATAATCACATTTCTACAAAATAGTTTAGATGAAAATTATAGAAAATTACTATGAACTTATGACCATAGCAAAAAAAAAAAAAAAAAAAGATTACATTGAAGAGAGATGGTGTGGATAAAAAGTCCAGTGACATGTGAACCCTTCTACATTACAAGAAGACCTGAACTGCAAGTGCTTAAGAAAACCTGTGCAAGTGGTGTAAGAAAAGTTATTGAAAAAAAAAAAACAAATAACATGAGTTTATTCAATAATAAGTCAGGAATATATTACATAAAGCTCTATCAGCGTTCCATGTACCTAAATAGCTGGAAGTAGTAGTTTTGTAACTATAGGATAATGTGAGTTTCTTGAGCACTAAAGTCTTACATGTATTTTATGTTTTATCAGTCATACATACTTTGGCTAAGATTAGTTTCTTCAAAAAATTCCTCCTCTGTTTAATCTGTTTATCTTGAAGTAGAACACTTTGAACCTCAGCTTTTTACTTTCTGACCTTGCGCGCAGATCAGAGGGATTTTATATGCTTGGTAGCCAAGCTTTTCTTGAAAGGTTGACCTCTACTTTGTTGACAAGAGGTGGATGCTTTCTGGAAAAAGCTTATCCTCACATATTTCCTCATAACACCACAGTATATTTGACTAGTAAGGTCAACATTCAATAAATAAATAAATCCTCTCTTTTACCAATGTAAAGAAAGACTGACCACTTAAATTAGGTTGTTTTTCTTTTTTGCTACATGTCAAATTAGCCCAACATAAAATTCACTTGTTATAGCAATATAAGCTTTCCAAATCAATATGGCTCCATGCAAAAACAGACAGTGGGAAGAATTCACCCTGTAATCGGTGGATCGCCAGTTTGATTCCTGCTCTGTTGTTGTATCTTAGGGCAAAACTAAGGCTGATGGTTGCTTTATAACAGCTTTGTGAGATGGTAAAGTGTCTTTGACTGTCCTAATAAAGGCCTATGTAAGTCAGGTTCCACCACTTGAGTCATAAAATGACCTCCTTATTTTAAGATGTTAATTTAGATTCTTATAAACCAGAATCAACTATAGAGAAATGTATAAAAATAACTGGAAAACAGCCAATTTCTTTATTCCGTACAATAAAGAAATTGCTTAAATAAAATAGGCTTAAAGATTTTAAAAATATAGTTAATTCAGCAAAATTGACTTTTGTAAAATAGGGTCAGGTTTGTTCAGGTATTTTTTTTTTCCTGCATGAAACACGCCTCTTAATAACTTTGGTCAAAATTGGATGAAAAATATTTGAAAATGTAAAGGAAAAAATGCTAGCTGTAGTAGTTTTCACAAAACTAATGCTTCAAATATAAATTTTGTGAAGTATTTTTTTTGTTCAAATTTTTAACGATTTTAATTAAAGAAAATTAACTCATTCCTTTTAATGGAAATGCTCGATATATAAATTTTCTTTGATTCTGATTTTCTTCAACAAATTGTGGAAATATATATGTAATGAAGTTTTTGTCACTCAAGTTTTGTTTCGTTGGACTTACAGCAAAAGCAGCTCCTGATTGTTGACCCTTGGATTATTTGGATCCATCATCATTCTTAGATTCAACCGTTACTTTCAGTCAGACTCTTTCGAAAATATATTGTTGTCAAATACAGTTTAGACAGAGAATGAGAATGGTCTGAAAGCCATGTTTTCCATCAAATGATTACAGCTTTTTCTAAGAATTGCTGCTACCTTGGAACAAACAATCTTTGTCAACTGAGTATTAGTATGTATGGAAGTATTTAGTGCACGGATTGATATCCTATTCTAACATGCAAAATGTCCCAGTCAAAGCTGCCACACACCGATTCCATACAAACAGTGAACTGAAAATGATCAAATACCAACTTTTAAATTCAATGTCTATGAATTTAATTAGGTCGTTATCTATTAAATCTCCTCAGGACTTTGACCAGCACACTAATCATGCTGGAAATATTTTTGTGCTACCTTTTTCCTCAGCTTGTTTCCATTGTTTCATTCAGACAAGAAGGAAACGCTTCCTGGAAGCTAATGCCTTGGGTCAGCTGTGGAAATTAGTCTCAGGATTTAATTAGAAAGTTCATTTTGTTTCTGCAGATAAGGCAAACAGAGACTTGAAACAGGAGAAAGATGTTGAGACTATAATGAAATTATCCTTTATTGAAATGTTTAATTCCTTTATAAATATTGTAGAGGTGATATTCATCTGTCTATGTTCAAACAAAATTATCGCCACTCAAACAACTGTGATAAATAGCAATATGTATTTTCTTACGTACATAAATTTGTTTAAAGTAAAACCCTAGGTTAACATAATTTTAACAACCTCTTGATTGAAAACTTAAATCTTTAGTTTGTCTTCTTTTTTACTTTTTTTTTCTTTACATATTTGTTAAAACTCTTACTATGTTGTGAAAGAATAGTACAAGACAGATTATCTATAATAAATTAAAGCAAAACAAAAAAAACAAGCTCTTCTACTTCCTTCTGCAAACTACAGAAATACCTCACAGCCAGGAGGAGGGCTTTATCGCCGTCAATCATGCTCAAGTATGGCCATTAGCATACTTAGCAGTGCATACACAAGTTTAATTGACAGCGCTTTTATTTAGACTGAACATTGACATCAGAATGTAGAAGAAAAAATAAAAACATCATAGAAGTAGATGTAATGTACAAAAGCTTTAAGAAGTATGTGATGTTCTCTTGCAACAGTCACTAGAGCCACATTAGCTGGTCTAGACTTAGCTTCCTTAATTAGCTTAACCAAGAAGCAAAACATACAAAGCATTAAACTACAGCCAAACCTCTTTTTGAGTTCAATCAAACTGTTCAGAGAAACATCAGAGCTATTCACAAACATGCAGGGCCTGGATGGTCAGTGATTGTACATCATAAGCTTTAGATCACATATAAGAAAAGATGGAGAGAAGCATCAGAAAAATGATCTTTTTTAAATGTAATATATTCCTTTGATCACAATATATAGATATGTTGAGAGGGAAACCGCCTACCACTCTGGATCAGCAACAGTGTACACTCACATAAAAGAAAAAAAAAAGAAATGCGTTTAGTTTGTTTGTTTTTTTTACACTGCTCACTAAACCAGATCCACTGAGGAAAAAAAATTCATCCCCCTGTAAAATCTGAAGTTAGCTGAAATTATCTACATTTTCTTTCTTAAACATCAGCTGGTGCACTCATGTTTTATCACTGCCTTATATGTAGAATAAAACACATCCCAGTAATGTAACTGACTTACATACATCAGTCTGGAAAAGATTATAAAGTCTTTACTAGAATAGCTGCAATAATAACAATAATAATCGTAATAATTTATTGACCATAAATGAAAAATGCCATAGAACACTGATGAAATTTCACAGGGGTACAGAGCTCACAAATATTACTTCAATGGCACAGATATTACTCATCGAGGACGCAACACAACCCAGAACATCAACATATGCCTGTGCAGGTCTCACTTGTCTCAGTTAGGGTCACAGTTCAAAACTACACACCAAGAAAGCAACTGGAAAAAAATGACATTCATGGGAGAGTTTCAAGGCAAAAAATTGTCAAGGTACATTTGGAACATTTCAGGACAAGATCATTATAGATGACTAAAAACTTGTGGTGTTAGTTAATGTGATGCTTCTATGATTCTTCACTAACTACATGACATGTCATGACTTTGTGATTGATTGAACATGAATTCAGTTTTCAACTGCAAAACTTGATGGAGAATGTCCAGCTACGAGTTCAAGGCGGTAAGCACGACAACACTTGATTTGTCGCAGGTCCATAATACGAAGTCTTCTAGGTTGACCTCTAAAAAACCAACAACAGCTACAAAATAAAAACTGAAATGTTTTGTACACACCTGAAAAACTATAAAGCCTAATTTGTACTGGATGGTAGGCCAGATGAACTAATGCAGGTTTGATGGATATCAGATGGAGAGAGCTATAAAATGAGACTGTAACAAGCAAATATGTGACATTGACATGATGTTGCATGGCATTTGCAAAGACTTTACTTGGTGTGACAAATTACAGTTTCAGTGTCCACTTTTTCACAACTCCATGGGTTATTGTGTATTCATTACAAATTTTCTGCAAAAAAAAAGGTCAAAATAATTGGGTCTAAGTAACTGCTAACTCCCACCTGTAGGTGGCAGTATTACTTCTATCACGCTGGTGTCTCAGCTTTACTTATTGTGAACTTATAGTCTGTAGTTGATATGGTCAATACAACAATCAAGCTAAATACTTTTTTGTGTCGGTTTTGTCTCCTTTTCTCTCAATTTTTTTT